GGTAACACTTCTTCCACGCCCTCATCTACAGCCCTGGCCCCTGGGCTCCTTCATCTGCTCCCCGTTAAGTTATCTTGTTTTTTTTTGGAAAGTTTGTTCAATTTTATTATGTCCAAACACGATCAGTCGCTTAGGTAGCAGGCTCAAGATAAGAAGAATTGGAGAAAGGAGAAAAAGAGGACTTGAGAACAGATTATCGGATGGGAGGCCACAAGAGGGAGATGGCTGAAGTTTTTCAACCAGCCGTACATAACCGGAAGATATATCCTTCAAGTGTTTACCTTATAAACAGGTCGCAAAGACTAAGGTTGAAAAATCGCAAAATATGTAGTCTATTAGGAGATCTTTAACCATTTGTAATGTGCTTACTACTTAAATTTCTGATAGTAGTTATTATTGATAACTCATATATTATTTCTCTATACAAATTCTTATATGCTTTATTACTTATTATATATTTATATTTACAAAGTCTGCAAATTAAATCTCGTGGAATACACACATGAGATAATAGTATGTATTACTAGGCTTCCTTCGAATTAAATTAATATTTGCCACTTATTACATTAAAACTGTATTTTCTATCATTCTATGTTCTGAAAATCGCTCTAGACGCCCAACTAATCCCCGCCTAGGCGCTAAGTAGTGGCCGGGCGCCCCAATTTTAGTCTAGGCAGTCCGATGAATTGATTTGGCGCCTAGGTGAGTTAGTCGGCCGCCTAGAGCGCCTAATTGCCCAACCAGAACGCTTAATTGGCCATCTAGGCATCTAGATTCGTCGAACATTTTAATTTAGTATTCCAAGAGATATATGTACCTTTAAATTTAACAACACATATGAAGAAATATAAAAGGTGGGATTAAGATAAAAATTAAACTATACTTGTTTATATATAATCTTAAGTGTTAATATTATTTGATACTACATCCGTCCGACATGAGGAGGTGGTGCAATTATTAAGAAAAGTATATTATGTCTTGTTATTGAAATGATAAAGTAAGAATAAAGTAAGAATGATGTAGAACCACACAAACTCTACTAATTAAATTTGATATGATACAATCGATCTTAGTGGAACGAAGAGAGTAATATTTATTATATAATAATGAAGTCAAGTAAGTAGGTATTATATACTCCCTCCGTCCTAGGGAGAAGTTCCCAATTTCCTTATTTGGATGTCCCAAAAGAAACTTCCCATTTCCCTAAATGGAAAGTTATCCTACATTAAAACAGTGCTAAACAGTGCCAAACAGTGCCAAACAGTGTCGAAACAGTGCCAAACAGTGTCGAAACAGTGCAAAACAGTAAAATTTACCCCTCAGTAACTTTATTTCCTAAAAATGTGTGAAAGTCAACTCGGGAAATTCTCCCTGGGACGGAGGGAGTATTATTAAATATGCAACTCTATCATTCATGCATGTCAATGCGTATGAGTGTATAAATAATTTTTACACACACAACAAACACAAAATTACTAATTATATTTATGCAAAAATATTGATAAAATTAAACTATAATTTCTATGTCTCCGACTAATCCCCGCCTACGCGAAACATCGTCAGGTTCCTATAGAAATCTAACTTCCACAATGCTACTTGATGTGAGGCGAAACACTGATTACTCGATCACCTAAGGCAGTGTTTTCAAACACTTTTGAAATGTGCTTTTCAACTTATTTTCTAAAATAAGCTAAAAGTGGTGTTTGCAAGACCCAACTTCCACTTAATTTAAAGTGCTTTTAAGCCAAAAGCTCAAAGCATGTATAGGGATGCTTTTAATAGCTTCTAGATTTTTTTTTGTAAATAACTACAAGTTTGAGGATAATTATTAGACAACTATTTTGATTAAACCCAAACCACCCTCCCTTCATTTTCCTTTCTGTCAGACCTTGTTGCCTCATTGACCGGACTGCTTCTGTTCCATGAACCCCACCACCGGTCACTGCCATACCCCACCGGAGTCCGGTGGTCAAGACTCCGGCGACGCCGTGCAAAAACAAGATCGGAGACCATTTGCAACTCTGCCTCTTCAAGAATAGGGTGGATTACTGTCGAATTCATGTCGTTCTCATCCCAAGATGTTCTGCTTTTGGGCTACAGTTCCGTCGGCCTGGGCCGCAATGATGGCTCACCACAAATCCGAGTGGGTTGACTTGGACGCCGCTTTTTCAAGACACGGACTTCAAACTCCCGCTCCACCGGTACAAGTTGGGGTTCATGGAACATAAGAGGAGCTCCTCATCTACTTCAAAAGTGGCAGTCCACGGGTGGCTGGACCAGATGGAGAAGAGGAGGAGTTCTCAGATTCATTTTTTGTTTGATTTTTGGTCTTCTGTGTTTTTTTTGGACTGGTTTTTGGTCTTCTCTTTTGGGAGCACAGTATTGTTCGTAGGATGGAAGATGGCTTGTTGGTGGGGGGTATAGAAAGGGCATTTTTTATACGATTTCTTCCCTCCGACACCATCTTCTTCTTCTCCTCTTTTCTTCTTCTTTAATTTGATTTAAAAATCAGTCACAATTTGACTCTATGTAATTAGACTCTGTTTTGGTTGATATCACGACCGGTTGGGGATTTGATGTCGATGTTTTGTAGTGGAGCAACGATAGAAGTTGTCACTGAGGATGATGCTGGTGTGGTGAAGTGGAGTTCGGCAGTAGGGCAGTACGGATGTGTGGTGTGGCTTTGGAGTCACTGCATCGCTATCGCAGTAGTCACTGCGTTGCTATGGGAAAGTGGATCTTTGAGGAAGTGAGTCACTGAGCAACGGTAGTGTAGTCACTGCGTCACTATGGGAAAGCGGGTCACTGAGGAAGTGAGTCACTGAGCAACGGTACCCTTAATAGTGATTACACTACCATAACAGTAGTGTAGTCACTATTAAGGGTAGTCACTATCATCGGCGGTGGAGGCGGAAAATAGGCGGCGAGGGCAGAGCACATGCGGCGGGGGTGAGGGCAGACCTGCAGTGGGTGGAACGAGGCTTGATGGCAGCCGTAGTTGACTTGATATAAAAATTGTATTTTAAAGTAATAAATGAAATATGGAATTAAAAAGGGTATAAATGATAAACTTAGTCACTTTTGTGGAAAACTTAAAATATAGTCATATTGTTGTCTTTTGTCCATACGTTAGTAATATTCAAATAAAAAGCCCAAAATTATACTCCCTCCGACCCGCAAAACTTTGTCATCTTTCCTTTTTGGGACGTTCCAAAAAAGTTTACCACTTTCCTTTTTTAATCAATTATTTTGTGGTTTTTGTTATTTATCTTTCATTTGCACAAACCTCAACCACACAATTTTTACTTTATTATTCTTCGCACCAGTCAACTTTGGCAAAGTCTTAAGGAACGGAGGAAGTATTAATGAAATTTCTTAATTTCTATGATCTTCTATATTTTAATTTATTTTTAACAATGTTTATGCCTAGTCGTCCCTTTTGACATTGTGATGAAATTATTACCAAAAATTGATAAGTTCTTTCGAATAAGGAGAAAGATGTTATACTTTCGTATTATTTAATTTTTATATGTTTATTTTTCTCATATCACGTATGCATTGTTCACATTGTTTCATTGCATATGATCAGAATGATAATATAAGGTAGGCCTAAGATACACAATCTTAAGCCTCTTTCATTTTAGGCTAAAGATAAATTCAATTATATCAATTTCGTTACTTATTCATATCAAGTACTCCCTTCGGTTTTTAATAAACTTCACACTTTTCTTTTTGGGACGGTCTAAAATAAACTTCACACTTCCTTATTTCTTTTTTTGGCAAAGAAATCTATATCAAAACAGTGCCAAACAGTGTCTCAACAGTACCAAACAATGTCTCTACAGTGTCAAACATTGCCTCAACAGTGACTCTACAGTAAAACCAAATTTCTTTCCTTATTTTGTGTAAAGTCAAAGTGTAATGATTAAATAAAACGGGAGGGAGTATTAGTTTTAAACGTTAGATAATATTAAAAGCTACTACGTACATTTTATCCAAAAGAATCTATATTTAATGATGAATTAATCATAACTTTTAAAGTAGCGTTTAAAGTGAAAAAGTGAGTATGGGGTGTCTACTTTTTACAAATTTTAAATCTAATGGCTAAAATAAATAGTTACTAGTAATGAATATAAAATTTTGACCATTAAATTTATCAAATTGCTAAAAATGAAAGAGGTAAAAGATTGCAACTTAATAAGAACTTATATAGTCCCTGATCGACGCTCGAGACTCAACTTCTGTAGTGGTATTAGGCTTTGACTAAAAAAAATCTTGATTACTGTACGGTGTACTGTACATTTTAGTAAAATATTTTATTCTGTACGTTAATGAAAACATTTCTAACAAGGAATCTTTCTCATCTCTCTTTCATACGGAGTATTACAACTAATGCGTAGTATTATATAAAAATATAAAGTTGGTTAAATTTCAACATTATTGCTGTCTACTGAGGTTCTCATTGATTATTTGATTTCATACGAAGTATGAAAGAATTGTAAAAGTATAAGGAGCAATTGCGTAGCAGATGATGTCTTTGTGAGAAGTGAGAACCATATTAATATTGGAACGGAAGGGCGGGGTGGCACGATCATTAAGGAAAATAGATTTGTTTGGTTCATATTAATTGATAAAATAAGAGTAAAGTAAAAATGATTTAAAATCACACAAACTTTACAAAATTGGATATGAGACAATTTTAATAAAATTCTTGAAAAAATAAAATGAGACAATATTAATAAGACGAAAAAGCAGTACTCTAGAAATATACTCATGTGTGCCGTGTGCGGAGAAAGCAGACAAATTAGGGATAAAGTTACACTGACATACGTATACCACAAAAATATACTCATGTAATGTGTGACATACGTAGTATGCTTTATACTGGGGCAATTTCTACGCACAGACTCTACGGCTATGCCACAAAAAGTCATACTCCGTACTTTCTTCAATTCTCAAAAAGAAAAATCTCTATTATAAATATGAAAGAAAAATCGATCTTTCAAATACGCACTGAGAGTAGATCTTATTCCGATCGAATTGAACAATATACATAGAAACACATATCACCACTATGGCAACCCTTCATCCTGCACCTTTAAGCCTGCCATTGGTGAGTTCATCATCAAAAACATTGCCGGCTGCATTCTGTCGGAAAACCACTATTTCTGCCTCTTCAGACAGGCTGTTGGCGAATATTCCCAATATCCGTCAAACCATAATCACCGGCCTTCCAAGAATCTTTCCGAATACAAGATCTTCCATAGTTGAGGAACTAGACCAGGAAGCCAAAACCTTCACCGCAACGGCGATGACGATGATCTCAAACCCGTTTATCGAGAAAACCCGAACCAGAACCCGAACCCGTCTTAGCTGTGATGTGGCTGAAGATCCTCTAATCATAGCGAAACTTCACGCTATCAAGGAGGCTGTAGCGGATAGGGTGGAGATGCACAACAATGTGTGTGAGCAAAGGAACAATTGGAATAGCCTCTTATTAAACGCCATCAACAGCATTCTTCTCGCCGCTACCACTACTACGTCAGTCGGATTCGCCTTTCCCGGTGAACAGCCGCCGCCTCTTCATAACCTGCCCTCTACCATCTTGTACCTATCCGCGACGGCGTTGCTGGTCATAATGAATAAGTTCCAACCATCCCAGCTGGCGGAGGAGCAAAGAAACGCGACTAGACTTTTCAAGAACCTTCTAACCGAGATCGAAACAACCCTATCAATGGGTTATGCCACGAATAGTGAGGTCACAGACGCCATGCGTAGAGTGCTCGCGCTTGACAAGGCTTACCCACTTCCCCTACTCGGGGCCATGCTGGAGAAGTTCCCGACCTCTGTCGCTCCAGCTACATGGTGGCCAGAACAGGCGCGCGCAAAGCAGAGCGACAGAGGGCGGCGTTGGGTCGATGTTCACCGCGGGTATACCAATAACGGCTGGAGTGAGGACTTAGAAGGAGAAATGAGAGAAATAGTTAAGCTCATGAAGGTTAAAGACAAAAAAGAGTATTTAAGGCTAGGGGAAAAGGCCTTAAAGCTAAACAAACTTCTAGCCATTGCAGGCCCCACACTGGCCGGAATCGCCGCAATCGGGTCATTATTGGCAGGACCATCGTCTTCCTGGGCGGGGATCGTTGGTGCAGCGGCAGGGGCGGTGGCCGTTGCGGTGAACACATTGCAACATGGGGGACAAGTGGGAATGGTGTTCGAGTTGTATCGAGGAACCGCAGGGTTCTTTGAGTTCGTGGAAGAGTCCATTCAGTCAACCGTTAACGAGAGTGATTTGGAGTATAGGGAAAATGGGGAACTCTTCCAAATGAAGTTGGCACTGATGTTAGGAAGGAATTTGTCAGAGCTAAGAGACGTTGCAGCTAAATCGAGATCCATGCACCAGGTCAACAATGGAGATGAAGAGTTTGCATCCAAGCTTTTATGATTTTCAATCTCCTTCCACATATATATACAAGCTAGCTTAGCTAATATATACATCCCAATGTTTTGCTAGTCTCCTCTTCTCTTTTGGGTTCAATTCATCCCAAGCTTTTATGTGTTTCTAGTAAAGATCACATTATTCCAACTTCATTCATAATTGTGAATTCAATAACAATAATTTCCTCATGTTTTAATATGAATGGAAAGATAGTAATATGCATGCTTGTTTTTTAATTTCATGTGAATATAATCTATCTTACCTAATTAATTACTCTGTATATAATCCAATACTTCCTCCGTTCTTTTTTAGTTGCAAAGGTCAACATTTCACATTTGTCAACACACTTCTTTGATCGTAAAAAATATCTTATTCTCTATTTGTAAAAAAAATTAGATTTTGAGAATTTGTAATGAGATGAATTGAACAAAAAAATTGAAAAAATAATTTTCATTAAATAATAGTGTAAAATTTAGTCAAAGTAGAGCATGTGAATATTGTAAATTCAACATGTTGCGATTTAAAAAGCGGAGGATATTATATACGTATGTAGTATCTAACAATGCATTGCATTATGAAATGTCAAATATTGCTATTAAGAAATACCACAAAAACTCACTATTGTTTGAAATAGACACTTTTGCCATTACAGAATCTCAAGGGGGGGGGGGGGACCTAATAAGGTTTCTGAAACGCTAATTATACTCTATTTAGGGAAACAGGTTTCCCAATTCTTTTTAATTATGAAGACAAACTCGTAATGAGAATTTGAAGTTTCTGAGTTTCTAATACACTTCCGAGGTAGGGTTGCCGAAATAGGAGAAAATGAGTCCTGAGGAGTTTCCGTGTTTCACAAGTGGGAATAGGTCACTACAAAAAGCAAAAGTTGAATTGGTTCTTGTATAGAAGGAGAGATTTCAAGACAAATAAGTATGAGATGATAAATGAGGAAGAATCTTATTGTAGGATTGTCTTATTGAGGAGATCAGAATGGGCAGATTTAAGGCTCCATGGTATGCGAATCAAGGATCACTGTACTATGGCTTCTAAAGATTGATCTTCCGTAATAAATATTGGTAAATATATACGGAGTATCAATTTTCTTAGCTTTTGGTCAGTGAGGAGCTTGGCATTCGTGTAACTGTGTAAGTAGGGGTCACGCAGGGGCGGACTGTAGTACAGACCCAGGGGGGCTGCCGCCCCCCCCCCCAACAATTTTTTTTAGTATATATATACAAAATTTTTATTTTTACCCCCCCCCCAACATTTAATTCTCGCCCCTCCAAGAAAAATTTTGACCCCCCAAAAAATATTTTCTCCCCCAAAGCATAGCCCACTCGCAGAAACTCAACTGTTTAAGAGCCTAAAAAAATAGAAATTTTACAAGTAATATTATATCAACTCACTCCAAAATTTATTCCCCATTAACCCACCCCAAAATCTAGTCTCAGCCCACCGCCCAGACCAAACTAATGAAAAACATGCGCACCTAGAAGAAAGAAACGGAAAGATCGATTATTTTTAAATGATTGTCCTTATGCCTACTATGTTCATTGCTTAGCACATCAGTTGCAATTAGCATTGGTTGCTGCTTCTAGAGAGGTGAAATTTGTGCACAATTTTTCATCGATTCAGTCTTTATTATTAAAGTACTAACTTGAACTATTTTGTAATAATATATTTGTCTCTTCTTCTATTATAATGCTTCATTTAATTACTACTCCGTATTATATTAAGGTTATAACTCATAATAATAATCGCCTAGATTTTTTTTGTTTAAATTATCGCCCCCCATATCAATTTCCTGGGTCCGCCCCTGGGGTCACGTAAACGTTGTCTGCAGCTAAGCCTACGGAGTATTATACGTAGTACTACGTATATGGACTTATTGACAAATTTTTAACAAATTATAAAAGTTTAGATGTACTTTGGAGAATTTGAATCTACATTTTAAAACAGTTTCTACTACTCGGTGCATCAGAAAGCATAAACAAATATTGAAGTGTTTAAATTGCAGAAGTACTTTAGGTGTTTCAAATTACTCATCAGAAATAGTTTTTGTAAAGATATGAAAATCAACTTCTTAAAAACTAACTCTAATTGTAATTTTACTTCTATTTTAAGAAAACAAAAGCATAATCAATTTTCCCGAATATACTTTTTTTTTAATCATACGTAGTACGTAATTGTTTTTTTAGATGTATCTAATTAATATAGGTCCGGTCTGCTCAAAAGTCAAAACTAGAATAATTTTGCTTGGTGATACTCAGTATTAGTTTAGTGTTTCACCGAGGTCACCGTCTTGGACCGCTGCACCTGTCAAAGTAATTTTTTCTATCTACGTATATTATAAGACCAAGTAGAATTGTAGAAAACACGTTCAATGCACTTCAAGTCTTCAACCAACCAAATAACCTACCTCGTCTCGTAAGGGGCAATGTTTTCTTTTTTGAAATAATTACGTAAATATGATCAAAATAAAGATTTACACAAATATGACTAGTTACTAGAGTAATAATGAAATCATAGTAGTTCATGTTCAAGTTTTAAACTTAAGTTACCACAACACTACGTTATAATAATGAATAATCATATTTATGTAAATAAATTTTATTTTAGTAATATTCTTGTAAAAAACTCATGTTTTCTCACATTCCTAAGTAATTTAATTTATTAAATTTATACAACTTATTAAATTAATAACATTTTAAATACACCTTATTTCATGATATAACAAGTTTACCAAATGAACAAGTGTAAAATCATTCACTGGTGAATAACCAATTTCAATAATGAAACACTATTTGTTGTTTTAACAAGACAAAAACAACTCCATCCCTACTCCTTAGTTATACTTTATCACCTAATTTAGTACCCAAATTTTACAAGGGTGTTTCTAAATACAACCCCAAATTTACTTTTCAAAGCCACCACTTTTGAATACAATTAAACTAGTGTGGAACCCGGGGCATGCCCCGGTAGTGTTAATTTGATATAAGTTCAGATGAGAAGTATCAATAAACATTGTGAACTAATCAATTTATAGGATATGATCAAAAGTGTTGAGTATTATTAATTATCTTTGATTATTATAGATTTTGTCCATTTGTAGTTTTAAAAAGTTGAAATTTTGTCCGATCTGGCCTGATTTAGTTAACTCTGATCTGATCTAATTTAATCTGATCCAGTTAATCAATCCAATTCAAACCAGGCTAATTTTTTTTAATAAAACAATAGATGTTTTAGAGTCTGTTTGGTGATCTTGCTTTCGGCTTATCCATCTTATTACCATCAAACTTTTTCATCGAGCACGTAACTTTTGAATTTGCGCGTTGAGTTGTGTAATAATTAAAATAAGTAAAGTTGGAACTACTTTTCTGAAGTTATTCTCCAGGGCTATTTTAGCTATTTTTTATATAATTTTACCTTTTATTTTATTAATAAATATATATATTTTAAATATAATTTTTTCATAACTCAGCAGAATCAACCAATTCAACCAATCAACCGCTTCTGCTAAAACTTAATAAATTTCAGTAGAATTATTAGCCGACTGAGCCAATTTCAGTGTTACCAAACAGGCTCTTAGTAGTAGTGAATTAGTGATGCACCAAGTGAACTTGGATTAATTAAATGTTTTAGCAGTAGTGATAATAGAATTTTTATTAATATAAAATTTATATTATATATTTTTATGCACTGACTAATACATCATTGATTTATAATTTAGTTATAAATATATAAAAATTACTTTTTTATTTTTATCTATGCAATATTGGTGTTATATGAAAGAAAAATTATCTTTCACTCTTCTTTCAAGGTGTTAGTTGCTCAACTTAATTACGAAATAGCAAGTTTCATAAAAATCTTTAGGGGTAGTCTATTTTGTTTTTATTTTGGGAAATAATAATTAAATTATGAATAAGGTATGGATCTTTTTTATATGAATCAAATCCAAGTAAATTAAAATTTTGAGTATTAATGATGTTTTTAATGTTTTTGGACTGTTTTCACTCCCAGACCAAACTAGATCAGATCAGACCAGACCAGATCAGACCTGGGCGGATATAAAATACAAAGAAATCAATCATTTACCAGACCATTTCTGACCAGTTTTGACCAGATGAGACCAGAAAATTTCAGTCCAAGTAAACATCCTAAATGCTTAAATTTATCCATTTTAATTAATAGTTAAATTAAAAATAAACTTTAACCTTAGGATGTTCGCACCAATTAATCAAACGTATTGCAATTCTATGTTTGTATTAAGGTTATGCACATTTAGATTTAATTTGTAATTTGTTCATGTTCTATATTAATTTTATATGTTTCATCATTTGCATATATAGAGTTCATAAATGTTTGGTTGATTTTCAAAAGTAATACGTATAAATAATGAGTATATATCAAAGAGCTGCAAAGTATAGTATACTATTTATAGATGGAAATGTTACATTCAGCTTTAGATAACATTTATCATAAACATTGAATTATTAATTAATACGTAGTGTAAGCATAGAAGAGACCTAGTCCAATTGTGTTTACTATTTTTTCTCCTAATCGGCTATTGTTATTAAATTAATGTTATAATTGTATTTGTTATCCAATCAATGAATGACACATGTGCATTTTATAACTCAGTTTTACTATATAAAACAATAGATAAGCATTTTGTAAACTTCCCATTTACCAATTACCCTTGCTTCTTATCTTCTGTTGTTCGTAGTAGCATTTTCTTTTGCCCGAGTATGAAAAACTATGTTTAAAGGCCATGTTTCTTTAAAAGTTTCTTTCCGACCCATACGCAGACATGGAACACTTCCCACAATTAATGTATTTTTGGAGAAAAAAGAAATTTATCTTAAGAGAATGAGTTTTGAAGGAAAACATGACTGAGAACGGAGTAGTCATTGAAAACATGACTGAGAACGGGAACGCCGATGACTTGGACACAAATTCTTATCCTGCTCCTTCATACAAGCAATCCTATGTAAATTGTTACTCCGTAGTACGTATTATGACTTCCTTCGAAATTAGAGGACCTTCAAAACCTGCATCCTTTTAAGCAGCCAAATGCTTTTGTTAGCTATAGATTAAATGAATGGAGTCTGACATAATGTCAGCAAGTTTGTAAATGAGAGGAGGATATATGAGTGGCAAGACATGTAAGTAGAACTGATCAACTGAAGGGGGTCACTGGATAAAGATTAAAATGAAATTGTGGATTTCGTCAG